GGGGCGCACGGGGAGCAGGAGGAGCTGATGGTGACATGGCTCAGCTCCGGCCCAGGAGGTGAGTCCAGGTTCAGGAAACAGCAACAGCCACAGACAAGCAGCCACGAAGACCACAGGCATCACACACACACACACACACAGACACGTCACGGGAGTGGACACGTCACGGCTGCGTGGGAAGGCGGGTTCAGTCGCGCACTAAGTGGAGGACTGTTCGCGGGGATGGGGGTGCGGGAGACGCGGGTCCTTGACTTCTCGGGAAAGAGCTGCTGCTGGAGTGGCTGGTTTTCTTAAGCATCGACATTCGCATCTAAAGGTCCAGGCGGCTGCCTCCAGGTTCTGCAGAGGGAGAGACGCTAAGTTAACACGAAGCCCTGCTCCTTTCAGAAACCTCCCCAGCGGGAGTGGCTCCGCAGCTGAGCACCGTGCTGGGCGCTGGAAGGCTGCCGGTGGGTTGCGGGTTCGGTCCCTGGTTGGGCACGTAGTCAGTGTTTCTCTCTCACACAGATGTCTCTCTGTCTCTCTCTCCCTTCCCCTCTCTAGGCATGTCCTCGGGTGAGGATTTTAAAAACAGCAGTTTATGAAGCAGCTCTGCTGCTGAGACAGTCTCCTTGGCTCAGTGGTTGAGCGTCGACCTAGGAACCAGGTTTGATTACTGGTCAGGGCACATGCCCGGGTTACAGGCTCAATCCTCTTGAGGCAGCCGGTCAATGATTCTCTCTCATCATTGATGTTTCTATCTCTCTCCTCCCTTCTTCTCTGAAATCAATAAAACAAAATATATTTAAAAAAAAAATAGAAATCTTTAACTGCTCATCTCCCTGCCTGTAGCAGCCCCTCTCCTCTGCCCCCTAAAATTCCCAGGGTGAGACCCATCCTAAGTGCCAGGTTCCGGGTGAAGCAGGAGGACACGCCTGAGACGGGGAGAGATGGAGGCCTGGAGGGGGGCCTCAGGGGAGGGTCCCCTGGAGGCTGGGGCCTGGCTGACACGGAAACTGTCAAACCCAGAGTCTCCATCCCAGGACACCCCGTTTCGCTCCCAGCGGCTGGCTCCAGGCCCCGCCCTCCAGCTTCCCCACGCCACACCCCGATGCTGACCGCCAGCTGCCGTGGAGTGGAGTGGACAGACGCCCGGCTACCGCTGGGACCCCTGCCTGCAAGGATGGGACATGGCCTCCTCCAGCTCAGCTTGGGAACCAGCTCCTGAGCCCCCCTCGGAGCTGAGACCCCCTGACCCCCCGGGGCTGCTGGGGGGACGTACAGCCCCAGGAAGGATGTACACTGAGAAGTACACCTGCCCTGCAACCCGAGACGCTGCGGCACCAGGCACTGCGCATCCAGAAACCTCATCTAACTCACGTTAGAACAAAAGCATGTGCCGGAGGAGGAGGAGGAGGAGGAGGAGGAGGAGCGGCGGAGGAAGAAAAGGCGAAGTGAGCTGATGGAGGACGGATACTGGCACTAAATCCAAGGCCTGGGTTCAGGCTCCGCGGTCACATAGCCCTCTGGCCTCCCTGACCTCAGTTGGTCACCTGAGTGGGGGGAGCTGCGCTGTCCCGTTCCTGTGGCTCCTGAGGGTGCGGGCGGCATGTGAAAACGGGAAGGCATTGAGCAGGTATTGCTGCCCTGCTCCCGACAACGGACAATGGAAAGGGCACTGCGGAGAGTGCCCTACCCGCTGAGCCCTGACGACACTGGAGTGCTGGGGGTGCAGGGGTGCAGGGGGTGCTGGGGGTGCAGAGGGTGCAGGGGGTGCTGGGGTGCAGGGGGTGCAGGCAGTGC